TTCATTCATTCATTCATTCACTCACTTTCTCAGCAAATACCATATAGATGATACTATGCATCAGGCTCTGTGCTTGGGCTGCGGCAGCAAATAATAAGACACACTTGATCTCTGCCCTTGGGGCTCTCATGCTTCAGTGGAGGTAGACACCAAAATAATGACTGTGACAGGCCAAAAAAAGGTAGTGCAGGATGGGCTGAGAATTGATGGCTGCAGGGCTGGGGACATAACATTCCAAGCCCCCAATATGTGTCAAGTGCTCACAAGCCCTAGTCAAGTTCAGGGCCAGGAGCCAGATACCCTTTTATTAGCACACAGGATGGTAGTCAGGTAAGAACCCCAATAAGACACTCTGTAAGTGTGCTCACCCTGGCCCTGCTTCCTGAAAATTATGAATGCAGAATGTACCAGCAGAGAGGATATAATCAGAGTTGACAGCCAGAGTCACTCTTTGAAAATGTGTGCACATGCCTCTCCCTCTCCTGCACATTCATGCAAATAACTTTATGGAGAATGTGATTTTGCAGCTGGGGTACATGATGCCATACAGAGGTGAGGGCAACTGTGCAACTGACTTTTATAAAGAAATGGTGTTCGAGTGAATGGTGGAGTTATATATTGATGATCACTCACTCAGAAACTCCAGTGGTTATTGAGCACTGGTGATTGAGAAAAGCCCCCTAAACCTCAGTGACGAGCTCGCAGTGGGGGGAGGGTACCTCTGCCTTGTGCTACAGATGATAATAGAAATAGCCACTGGGCCAAAGCCTCTGCTTAGGAAACTTTCAAAAGTTTAAAAGTTAAGCCTTGATAATCTAGTAAGCATCAGCCAGATGAAAAAGTGGGGCAGCAGCATTCCAGCAGAAAAGCAGGAAAGGAAGCCAGCACATATGACACAGCGCGCAGTATGAGGAAATGACATGTGGCCATCCAGTGAGCACAGGGACCTGAGGGAGCTGGCTGGGAGAGTGCGGCAGAGTATAGGCCACTCAGTGCTTGGGGGATGTAGGCAATAGGAACTCCTGCCTGCCAGCAGCAAAGGTAAAAACAGGCTAGGGTATTGGATGTTCATTTTTGGGTTTTAGGGAGAAGGAATTTGGAAAACAGCAGACCTGGGCGATGTCCTAAGGTTAGCAACACACTGACAACCTCATGGTTGATATCATTTTTTTTTTTTTTTTAAAGAAAAAGATATCCACAGCCTATTAACAAACTACCCAAGTTATTGTGACTTCGAGGTCATGTCAGTTGAGTTTGGCAATGAGAGGCTGAGTGTCCTGCCAAGAACATGGTCTATGGTGTTGGGGACAATGAGGAAAGGCTCCATCAGGAAATGTCCTTTCAGTTCTAGGGTCTTTATATAAGCCTGAAAATAACTAAGAGAATTTGTAGTCTCTAGATGCTGAATTCTATAATTTTTAGTGTTTTTTAACTGCTAGTTAAAAATTATTAAAATGTCTCACATAGCATCTTCAGCTAAAATTTTCCTCAAAATAGACATGTTTCTGAAAAGTAAAAGGCGAAAAATAGTCCAGAAAGAAAAAAATAAAATCCCAATGACTATTTCTACAAATCTCTGTAAATACTAATTTTAAGTTTTAGAGGCAGCCCAGTCTGAGACTGACTAATTCAACAAAGTCTGAGCGCCCCCTGATGGTTAACCGGGAACCCTGCAGCAGATGCCATTTTTTTAGCTGCCTGGGGTCAACCTGTTAATTAATTCCTTTCCTTCAGCTAAATCAAACCACTCTTTTTTTGTGCTCTGTGTAGAATAAAGAAAAGTATATTAGTTTATGATGAAAAGCATGTGAATTATTTAAGAAGCTGCTTATTCAGTAAAATTTAAAGAGAATGAAGATTTGCTATGCCAGATAACGGAGATGGGGGCTTTAACATGAGAACCTATAGGATATCCAGGAAAACCTGATTTTAATTTCTTTGTCACCCCAGTGACCAGGCAAGAAGAGAGATACCACAACCACCCCCCATCCCCAGAGAATCAGCTGCAGCCTTGCGCCCTCCATTGGCCACTCCTGTGGCTGCAGGGCTGGCAAAGAATGCCACCCAAGAAGGCCCTGCCAAGATGCCTGTGATGACTGGGTGACCTCTGCTACCTTTCCCCCAGGCAATTATGTTGTAAGCACACATCTTTTTCTTTTGGTAAAATGTTATCTCGATCCAACTAGTAAGCTGAAGTTACACGACAGGCTGTTAAAATATACTCTCCACTGAATAAATAGATCTGGGAGAGTGAAAGCCGCTTCCTGGGGAAGGTAAAGCAAGACAATGTTTGCAGAGGAGAGGAAGCTCTGGCATGCACCCCTGAACAAAAGGGAACAAGTGGTCTTTACTCAGAGAACAGCTTCCTATTAGGACTCACTCCTTCATACATTATGCCTTTCATTCCCACTCAACCACAAAATGATTTTGCTGAAGCAAATACAATAGTAGAAAAAGATTTACACTGAAAGAATCTTTAATAATAAACTGTTGCTGATCTGCCTGCTTGCTTGTGATTTATAATACAATAAACATCGGATTCTATTACGGCTCATGCACTGGAGCTGCAGCTCTGAAAAACAGAATATGAAAGCACCCGGACCCCACCACCTTCACAATGAAATGAGCATGTATAAATGTGCTAAGAGTATCTCTTTGCATCTTTTATAGCTTGTGTGTATTAATCTGTAACGCTTATTAAGAAAGTCATTGCTATGCAAAGCAGCACCCAATCCCTTTCTCTGGCTTTTCAACAGAATGCACTGTTTAGCCAATAGGACAGACCCTCTGGCCCTCATTCTGCATTCATCGCAGGCAACATTTGCACAATGTATCTCTCAAAGGCGGCTGAAAAGAAGGCCTTAATACTCATGTAAACAACTGCAAACCAATTACTTAATGAATCAGGCCCACACATAATGAGGTGCAGACAAAGAGCTATAAATGTATTTTTGTGCCCAAGCCGCTGCTTTAAAGTAAAATCCCTCAGCTGTAGTTTGGGCTTAACTAGCACATCATAATTATTGTCTCTAGGACATCAGAGGAAGCCATTTTTTTTTTTTTTAGGTCCAGCGGGGTCTGTTTTTTTTTTTTTTTTGAGGTTGCTCATCAGCTCACTGACAAAACAGAGCAAAGAAGAATTTTTAAAAGTGCTACAGCAGCACTGCACTGTTATGTTTATTCTCAAGTACTGGTTTCGAGACCACTTGTAAAAGCAATAAAGCACAAGGAGTGACTGTAGTAAGTGGAATCTTTAAATGTAAGCCTCTAAGAAATTTCAGTGATTTCAGGCACAAACAGCAAACCCAGAGCTCTCCAAAGTCCAGAGTGGCGTATTAACAACACTAAACCCAAGAACAAAACTAGAAAAATCCAAACCCACTACTTGGCACCCAGACCTTTTCCTCACTGGATTAGAACCAAGGCTTCTATGAAGACTTTTTTTCTTAAAGGGAGTAATATGATTACTTGTAATTTATTTAGGTAATTAATTTCATAGAAAGAACAGTAATAACAAAGGCCCCTGAGTTAAAAAAAGAAAAAAGAGAGACTGATTTTTATAATAAAATAAAGTGTAAGACATGAAATGATCAGGCTGAGAAAGTGTTTTACAGAATCCAACTGCTTTCTGAATGTATTTTAAAATTGCCTGAAATATATATATATATATGTAAAAAGAAAAGTTTAAGAAGAATTGGGTTTTTAATGCCTCTAAAATATAATAAAAACAAATATTTCTAAATATCTTTAAAAACTAACTGCATGTATTATTATGCCAAATGATAACGTTAAGCCCTAAAAACTATCTGTAGACTTTATTACCTTTTAAAATTCCTTTTAGAAGACCTAAAACTTGACTTTATAGTATAATCATAAAAATATAATACTTTAATACTCTTCCTGACCCATAATTTATCTCACACTTCCTTCAAAAATATGGATGAAAACCCAGATACTAAAGATACTAATTTCTGATAATTAAATGAGTAATCCCCTAAAACTGAACTTATCAGATTTCTAAAAGCAAAAATTCAATTTCAGAAACTCAATCTTGTTAATTTATTCCAGGTCCTAAAAAATACTGTAATGTTTTAAAAAATACAAATGAAATTAGAATTTTTTTAATTTTAAAAATACTATATTTCTGGATCAAATAATTTTATCTTAGAATACTAGATCCTAGACACTAGAAACGTAAAGTTCCTGTTTTAAAATTTCATTGGACTAGGCAGTTAATTCAAATGTAATGCAATCATCTAAAGAATTGTTAAAATGAGAAATGTTACTATAAAAGGAAACTTGTCCTGTTTTAAATAATATTTATCCCAAAGCAAAAGAGGTAGGTATTTTATCAGATGATTGCTTCTATTCTCATCTATAAATTCTTCCTAAATGACTCAGTACCACTGCATGATTAGCAGTGATGACAAATCCAGCACACAACTCACTATCATTGCTTAAAAAACTTACAAGTGCTACAGTTTAAAAAATGTGAAAAGAATAAATTTTGTTCTTTGTAGAAAATAAGCAAGAAAATATCAGAAGGAGAAAGTATAATCTAGCCCAAATACTTAATAAAAAAAGAGTAGTACAAAAACAAATACCCAACAATTGCTAGTGCATTTATCAGGCTGGCTCAGAGAGAAGAAAACAGGCCACTTTATTTCCTTTAAGATTCGATGTTTTCTCTGCCCTTTTCCATTGTGTGGTCTCTAAGCAGCCCTACTGCGAGCAGCTGTAGACGCTAATTTGTGGTTCACTGAGGTGTCAATTGAGTCTTAAACCAAGGAAACAACAGCTGCAAAATAATACTTGGCTCTGGTGCAAATATTTTTAAAGGTAGACTAAAGTTTCAACTGTTATTTTAGATAAACAAAAAACAAAACCGTAACCTTCCACCAAGTCACACAACAAAATAATATGTAGCTAAAGTTTGATTTATTGCTTAGTGACATTTCTCATCTTGTTGCCACTATTCAGAAAGGCTTTCACGACTTTACCTTGACAAAGGACTTCCTTCGCTAGATGAAAAACTATCTTCTGAAGTGATTTTGTTAGTTGTCTTTGTCTTCAATGTACCACTGCCAATGTTCAAACCTGTGACAAGCACAAACAGGAGAGAGAACATTAGCCTCCATGCAGCAACAGACGCAATGAAGAAAGAAAGGAACTCATAACTTTGGTAAAACAAATGTCAATAGAGGAAGATGCTGTTCAAGCCACAGAAAACAAGAGAGCTTCTGAGGCAAGAAATAACATGTTGGTAGAATACTGAAAGGAAGTGGAAGATTTTCCAGTGATACACAGAAGCCACAAAATGTAAAAAAGAAAATCATTAAAAGAACACCATTTTAAATGACCGTAAGCACATGGGTATGAACTATGGCATCAAGCTCTGGATAATTCACATTGTTATAACACATAGTCAACAAGATAATGGGTGCTGGGAACCAGGTGTCAGAAGTAACTGACACTCCTGAATGACTGTTGCCCACACCACCCATCTGTAAGTCCCTCTGCCAGTTCCTCTGTTTTTCCATCTTGCAGAGGAGACTGAATATCCACTGAAAACCATCAAGGCCACTCTTTAACCAGCCTGAAAAGGTTGATGGGTCAGATGCATAAACCACAATCCCTGGAGCTTGGGAAACCCCTTGATGCCCCCAACTTGCAAGGCAATTCCTGACCTGTGCCTCCTGGGAGTCCTCAGACTTGGATGTGACTGTTACAAATCTGATTCTTAACTGGCAGTTGCCCAAGATCACAGATAGAGAGTGCAAGGGCATCTCAGCAAAAAGCATTTGCTGAGTTTCTATCTGTAATCTGCTTGCCTGCATATAACCTCTACAGCAGGGCGATTCTCCTGATAATGTGTCCATGTTCAGCCTGAGCAGGGTCTGCATGTGCTTAACAGGACCTGGTCATTTCAGATACGAAAACAAAGGCACAGAGACAGGTCCAGAGACAAAAATCTAAGACACTGGATGCAGAAAGTAACTGAAACATGCACTACTTCTTCGATAGTTAGATTTGGGGGTAGCTCCTAAGTTCTGAGTGCATATCCCCACACTCCCTCAAACAATGCTGTGAAGTTTCACACAGGTACCCGGCTTCCATTCTCCTCTGCCCTCCCAGCCTACTTCCTGCTTCTTTTTGGAGCTCAGATTAGTATCTAGGATCAGAGTGAGAATGAGAATAAAAAAGTAATGCATGATCAAATGTAAATTAAATACCACAGGCAGTATCTAACTACAATGACAACCAACACTACAGGAGCACTTCTAAGATCCCAATGACAGAAAATTTAGAATCTTGCAAAGAACATAGTGTAATTTTAAGTGTGGAGTGAGAAAATTGTATCTAGGGGTGCTTGACTACAAAACCCACATAGTATCACTCCACTTATGAATAAATTAGTAAAAATATGTTAATTAATATATGAATAGTACTATAATTTTGATACACATCCAACAGACTACAACTTATATCAAATTTACCTATCCTTTGAACCCGTATAGTTAATACCAAAAACAAATTTATAGAGTCACCTTCCAAACTATGTATGTCTGCTAACTAGCTACAATGCTCAGAAAGAGACATTACTCTCTTGGGGCTTCGTTTGTAAAATGAGGGGGTTGGATTCAATCCCTCTGGGTTCTAATTCTGTGACCCAAATGCGAAGGGGATGAAAAGCAAACATTTAAGGGTTCACAAGTGATGAACACCTCCATTAGGGGCAGAGGCCCTGTTTTCTAAAAATATATTTTTATTGATTTTAGAGAGGAAGGGAGAGGGAGAGAGAGAATCACCATCAATGTGAGAGCAAAACATCGTTTGGCTGCCTCCTGCACAACCCCCACCAAGGATTGAATCTGCAACCCGGGCATGTACCCTGACCAGGAATCCAATGGGCAACCTTTCAGTGCACGGGACAATGCCCAACCAACTGAGCCACACCGGGCCAGGGCAGGGCCCTGATTTATACTTCTACAAACTACAGTGTCTTATGTTCATGGAGTTCAAATAACCAGCACCAACATGACCAGACCTCCCTGGAAACTTTCCTCTAATAATTACATCGCTGGGTATTTAACCTGCAGTGGTTCACTGAATCCTCAAAACAACCAAAATAACTTAATTTTGCAGCAACCGTTTCTAACACTAAAATTATCTAGGAAATAGCTCTTCAAAGACAAGTCTGATGTATCATAAGTATGCCCCTCAAAAAAATTTCTGTCTGGTGAATACATCTTTGAGAAATATGGGAAATCTGAATATGGACAGGGAATGATGTTGATATTATGAAACTACTGTTCATTCTGATAGGTAAAATAATGGCATGGTATTTTATGTAAAAGCAATGTCATATACTACAACATGAATAAACCCTGAAGACATTATGCTAAGTGAAATAAGCCAAATACTATATGATTCCACTCATATGAAGTATCACAATCACAGAAACAGAAAGTGATTACGAAAGGCTGGGTGAGAAGGGGGAGGGGTATTAGTGTTTAGTGTGTAAAGTACTTCAATATTGCAAGATGAAAAAGTTCTAGAAATCTGCAAAACAACATGAATATACTTAACACTATTGACTGTATACTTAAAAATAAACTAGTAAATTTAATGTTACATACTTTTTACACAATTAAAAATAAATAGCGATCAGATATCTCAATTTGTCCATGACAATTCAAGTTTGTTTGTTGTCTCAGTGTAATTACTAATGGAATCCCCTTTGTTATCAAAGTTTCCTGGTTTAGATAATAAATTATATGGTCATATAAAAGACATATACACCAAATGCAATGCAATGGCATGGTTTGGCCATTGATTAAAAGAAAACAACAATAAAAAATATTTGAGCATATTGTATATTTGACAATATTGATAAATTATTATCAATTGTTTTAGGTATGAAAAAAATCCACAGAAATACTAAATTTTCTACTATCAAGAGAGGTTTCTAAAATCCTTCCTATGACATCAACACTATTCAAATGCATGCAAATTATTTTTTGAACTCCCCCTTTTAGCTACTCTGAAGATAAACAAAAAACAATTTAGTTGAACCCAGTTTTCAAGACTCAAAGATAAGTTGTGTGAATTTATCTGAGATGACCAAGTTCTAGTCATTATTTTGAGTAGGTCTGTGGATGGGTTCAACTCATGGCAAAAATAGTTTCTCTCCATTCCAGGCCTTGCAGAAGCCACTGGAAATGAACCAAAAGAAATAGCACTGAATCCCTTGGTCCGTCCTCCAGGTATTTCGAAGCACTCCCTGCTCCACTTCTCAGGCTCTCACATTTTGAGTATGGGGTCTCTACTAGGCTGGGTGAATGGCAGGATGAACAATAGTAGCAGATGAACTCAGAGACCCAGAGCTGAGAAAAATCTAACCAAGGCTTGTCATGGGGATTGAGAAAGCATATGCGGGGAGCAAAGCCAGGCACAACAAAAGGATCATCAGCAGCCTGGACCTAGCTTGGATCCCCAGGACACCCTTAGACCTGCAGGACTTCTAATGGCATTTACTGTAAGTTAAGGTCAGGAAGATTGTAGGGAAAAATATACATAAAGATCACATATGTAAAGGACCCAAGTGACACATTACCTCACATCTCAAGGATACCTGGATGAAATGAAGGCTGGAGAATTAGAGTTTTAGCATAGATATGACAAAACAGTATCCATATGCACATCTTCAGTGTGGCCATAGATAAAAGGATTCCTGCTGTTATGTTAGCATCAGGCCAGCAAACAGACACCTTCCTGCTTTTGCTGACTCCACTTAAGAACTTAATAAATGGTGACGGACAGAGACTTGACTTAACCACAGGCCCCTGTTACTGGATTAAAACTATCATCACACTGAAGAATAAAAATATAACTTATCTTGCCTTGCCAAGATTCAATCAAGATAAAAATAAGTATGTAAAATGAGCATATTTTAAACAACTCAACAAAAGGAAGATAAACAATCCAATTAAAAAAATGGACAGTGGACCTGAATAGACACTTCCCAAACAGGACATACAAATGGCCAGGAGACATATGTAAAAATGTTCAACATCCCTAATCATCAGAGAGATGCAAATTAAAATGACTATGAGGTATCACCTCACACCTGCCAGAATGGCCACCATCAACAAATCATCAAACAAGTGTTGGCGAGGGTGTGGAGAAAAGGGAACTCTAGAACACTGCTGGTGGGAATGCAGACTGGTGCAGCCACTACGGAAAACACTATGGTGTTTCCTCAAAAAAAAAGAGAAACATCTGTAATGAAAATACTTTAAAAAAATTATCACAATAAAAAAAATTAAAACTTGATCTGCCCTTTGACCCAGTGATCCTACTTCTAGGAATATATCCAAAAAGCCTGAAATACCAATAAAAAAGAATATATGCACCCGTATGTTCATGGCAGTACTATTTACAATTGCTAAGATCCAGAAACAGCCCAAGTCCATCAATAGATGAGTGGATAAAAAAGCTGTGGTATATTTACATAGTAGAATAGTATGCTGCTGTAAGAAAGAAAGATCAGTTACCCTTCGAGACGACATGGAGGGCCCTGGAGAGTATTATACTAAGTGAAGTAAGCCAGTCAGGGAAAGACAAGTACCACGTGATCTCACTTATTTATGAAATATAATGAACAAAATAAGCTGTTGACCAAAAGAGATCCAAAGTCATGGAAGCAGGGAACAGACTAATAAACCTCAGAGGGAGTGGGGGTGGGAGGGGTGAAAGGGCTAAACCAAAGAACTTACATGCATATATGCACAACCAATGGACACAGACATTAGGTTGGTGAAAGCAGCAGAGGGGGGAGTTGGAAGGAGGAGGTCAATGGAGAAAAAATGGGGACATCTGTAATACTTTCAACAATAAAAAATATATTAAAAATAAATAAAATGAGCATATTTTGGAATATTAAATGCTACATAATTAAAATATGTACAGACAGGGACTCTTGATTCTGAAAATAATAAATTCCAAGGCAATACTTTTTAACATTGCTGGGTTGTAAAATCAGTTTGGCACAATGGAACTCAGAAAAATTTAATAAACAAATCACCAAATACAGT